TATATTGTGACCCAAATTAATGTTTTTGTTATGTGTAGGTGTACTATGCTTTTTGACCTACAGTAAAAGAGTGTAAAACTGTAGATAAAGTTTTTCAATGTCATTGTAATTAATTTATTAAATCTACTCAGCCTTTTTATCCCTTTCTCGTTCAATCACATCCCATTTGTATTAATATTATGTTTGTTTTATTTTACATTTATATCACATAAATGGTCAAATTGAAAGAGAGGTGCGCACAGGTAGTTTTTAACTCAAATTAAATGTCAAAAACTTACGACGACGATTTTTATTTTGGCTGAGTACAAACCAACCAATAATCTACCTTTTTAACTAAGCCACCACTTTGGTAATGGTAGAAGAAGACTTGTAATATTATTATTCATGAAAAAATGAAACATTTTTTCAATGATACAATATATGAAATATTAAGTACGTAGAAATATAATTTTATGGGAAAAAGTATTTTATTGTTTTAGTCTGATTCGAATCATTCAAAGACGATAAATCATTAATTGGGTTGATTTCATCTTTTGAATAGGTTTTTCAATATTAAATTTGGTCTATTCAGTCAGCATTGGTTGATCGTCGTGTAACTGAATTTAGTCCTTATTTGAAAATAATTTTCAATTTGGATTTAATTTTTTCAATAGTGTACTGTTTAAAAGACCATAGTAGATTATATAAAGCCAAGATTACAGTATATACAGCATATAACGTGTCGCATCCCTATGCAAAATTTATGAGTAACCCTATGCAATTAAAAAGTGTGCAGTATTAAGGTTCATCGGAAAAGGAAAAAAAAAATAGTCCAATTAACTATATGGGTCACCTTCTTATATAACTAAGAGGAAATTACGGCAATAATTATTAATTAAAATACTATATTTTAACTTCTTATTCATGGCGTTGGATAACGATTTCTGTTTTTTCATTTCGCTTAACTGGAGTGATTTCATATACCCTCTCTTTTCCTCACATACTTCTTTATGAAATAATGGTTTTTGTATCTCTTGAAAAAAATAACGTTTTTTGTTTTTCTATTTTATGTTTTTGGTTTTTAGTTTTCCGTTTTTAAAAAACAAAGACCATATATAGTTGATAAATATTCTTTGTTTTCTATTTTTAAAAAATAGAAAATCAAACATGTTTGATAAGCATTTTGATTTTCAATTTTTTTTTTAATGTTAGAGTTATATATGCTAGAGAGAGAAAAATCTATGTAAAGTAGAGATAACAACGGGATGATGCAAGAATCAAAATTCCCTCCCTATCTCCATCCTCACACAAATTTTTAGTCTGGCCTCATGCAAGAATCAACCAGAGAAAAAAGTTAGGAAAATATTAAATTTTGAGAGAGAAAAATAAGAATGGTATGTTAGAAAAAATAAAAAAATAAAAATATATAGAGATTAAAATTTTGAAGATAGAAATAATAGTAAATATTCTCTAGAGAAGAAAAATTTAGAGAGTGAAAGATAAATTTTCTTGAAAGAGAAATTTCAATAAGAAAAAAATTTAGAGTCAAAGAAATTGTTGGAGAGAAATATGTGAAATAAAAAAATGTCGAGCATTAAAATATTAAGAAAATGAGATTTTGAAAAACACAAATATGTTTAAAAGCTTTTTTTCCCCTTGAAATTTACATAGAATATTAACAAACAGTTTTAAAAAATAGAAAATATAAAATTGAATTAGGTTATGAAACAAACATGTTTTTGTCAAAAACCAAAAATCATTTTTGATATCATCTCATGTGATTGGACGCCTTTTGATTAATTTTATGAAACAACTGGAATCTTAAATAAGTCGTCATCATGGTTTGAAAATATTCTCTCTAGATTCTTTGGAACTAATTAACCTGTCTCTTTTGGATTAATGAGTCAATCAAATAATATGTAGAGATATATATAGAGATTGAAATTCAACATCCCAACCAAGCAATATATGTAGATAATAACTTTAGCATCCTAGTCATCTAGTTCATATCCTAACATATTACTCGACCCATGATGCATTTTTGTTATAAAAGATTGAATTAATTAAAAATGTTACCACACTCTCTCCGATCTTCAAGGGATAGCTTGGGTGGCTTGAAACCTCAAGGAATAACCTTAAATTCTTGAGTTCAAGTCACTATCTATCATCAGAACTAGGATACAACCAATTAACATATGCACGTGGTTGCAAAAATACATAACTCATAGTAAAAGAAAAATGTACATTAAGAATATATATCAAAACAAAACCCTAGCTAATTAGGGTTCATTGGTGAAAGATTATACTGGGAGTTGAGATTATGCAAAATTAAACTTGTTTACTTTATAATCATAGTTGTTAATTAACCTTGGAAGTAGTGGTGATAGCAATGAGAAGAGAGGGTCGTCAGGCCTTGATTGTTGAACCAGCTGCTGCTTTTGCACATACAACCCACAGAACATAAGTTGTTGGAGAGGGTAATTTAAAGACAGTATGCGGGACATATCTCTGGTGACAAAAATGGACAAAGAATATATTTGTACGTAGCCCCTCTTTCAGGTTTTTCTTCTATTCAACATGTGCCACACCAATAATAGATCCCCACAACTAAACTTAATTAGCAGCTAGCTCGATCCCATTACAAGGCTTTAGATCCTAAATAATCAAGTTATTATTTAATAAAACTTATGTTATTTCTTTCCTCTCTCTAGCTAATTATGTTCTTAAACAATTCCATGCATGATTGGTTAATTAAGCAGAATAACTTGGTTAATTAGGCATAAGAGCATTGATTGAATGGAAAAAGTGTGAATAGTGGGTGATGTGATGATTGAATTAGAGGTCAAAGAGATACACAACAGAGCAAAGAAAAGAGAGTTGAAAAAACATTCGTTTTGCAGTAACAAATAGAACATTATTCTCCCCGATTCGGTTCTCTCAGGGTTGGATGTTTGGATGTATCATCTTTTATATTTGTCCCATTATTGTCGGGTCTTTGGGATGGGGTAAATCAAACACTCCAACAACGACAACACAAGTATACAACCTAAAAGCCCTTTTAGTACACTACTAAAGTTAATGCCTTTATGCTTTAATTTAACACTCTCCCATTTCAAAACCCTCCTTCTGATCTCTCTCTTTACATTTTTCCTTTTTGTTTTTGCACAAAAATGGTGGAGGGTTTTGAATTTGGATCGACGACCCACTTTTTAGTCAAGCTCCTCTGCTTTATAATTATGCATATTAGAGTACAGCTTGCTTTCTTCTTCCCCTTGATATCGGCTTCCAAAGATTTTTTGGCTGTTCAAAAACGTTATTGAGATGCTTTATTATGGCATAAAAGTGAACATAATCAAAGTAAATTTTATGGCGTAGGGGAAGAAATTAATGATGGGTGCCAGAGAGCTATGAGACATTGCAAATGTTTTGTATATAAAAGATAGGTTAAAAGCGTGTACTTTCATTTAAATAATGGTTTTAGTTCGTTTGTAACCATTTATTGTTTCTATCTTCAAATTATTAACAATTTAGTCTATATATACTTTAAAATTTGTAACACTTTAGGAATTCGTGGTGACGATTCAGTCTTTTAGTTTATAAACACTATCATACCGCCACTAGGTGGCTTGTCTGAATGCCAAGTCTTTTAATGAAGAACGCTAGCTATTTTTGGTCTCTTATTATTATTATTAGTTTTTTTTTTTAAAGAATATCCACTTCATTCAAAAGGTAGGCAAGAAACATGCACAAAAAGATGGAGGCTAAAAGAAAGTACTCTGATTTAGCGAAATGGTCATAATTACGAAAGGGGAACGATGTAAAACACCAAGAGGATATGCGAAGACTTTGTAGTTTATCGATTTAACATATATATATATATATATCAAATCTTATTAAATCTTAACAACATTTTTCATGATAGAGACTAAATCGTTACAAGTTTAAATTACAGAGAGACACGAATGACTAAAGTTTAGGGACATAATATTATTTTTTTAGTACAACAATACGTAGGAATCTTGGGTTCAAGTTACATGAAATGCAACTTCAAGCAATGACTCCTTATGTATGTTTGGGTGGTATAGGTATAAGTCGGTATATGCTCAAGTTGACATAGTATATGATGATTTTTTTAACACTTTTTTTTTTTTTTTGAGTACAGCAACACATTCAATTTTATGTTTCATATATTCAAGTTTAAATGATATGTATTGATCCCAGACACACCCAAAAGCAACTTTTGAATCCAATATTAATTACGGTTTTAGCTCTCATTCAACATAACGAGATCAGGCAATAACCAAATGATGATGCCGCCACGCTGTGCATATGCTGGGAAGTACATCCAAATCCAACGCTTTTAAGTTGGTGGATTAATTAAATTAATTACACTAGAAAAACTAATTAAATGTGTGTGGACATTTGACAAGATAAAGTTAGCGAACCAAAGTTGACACAAGCTAGGTCAAAAAGGAAGAAAGATTGAGATTGTGAAGGAGATATGTCTTTTGTTTGCTAGAAAGAGCGCAGCCACAAGAGGTTTTGTTGTAGGGTTGTAATCATTTTTTGCTTAGGACTTTGTGTCCTTTTTTTGAATTTTATCTCTTTGTCATTCTCCCATGATATAATGTAATGTGTGATGATGGTGGCTGCAAACAAAAAAAAAAGACCCTTTTTTTTGTCGTGTCTTATAGGTCATAATGGGGTTCACATAGTTGGAAGATTCCGTCCTAAAAGAAGAGTCTAAACACAAGGTGACATTTTGGAGGAGCAAACCCAGCTAGATTTTGCTGGCAGAAGAATATATGAGATGATATATTTGTCAAGTGGATTTCATCTTAAAAGCCTCAAAAAGAAAACTAACTTCAAATTCAATCATACTCCTTGGAGACCATGCAAAAGGCTATTTGCCTTTCTTCCC